TCCGACGTATAATAGTACCGTCAATATAGCATAATAAACAATTTTTGTATCAATCAGTTTGATGCAACAGGGATTTACAATCAAAAGTTTTACTTGGTATAATTGTTGTTCGGTAATGTTCTTCTCATTTCGACATTATCAGCCGCTCGTTCTCTATTTCGTTTCCTATAATAAATATAAGATATAATGTGTACATCATCAGGGATAATTACGTTATAATAATTAATCTCAAGGAAGAGATGCTGCCGGCGTACAGGCAAATGGAGGAATAGAAAACATTATAAAAAAGATGAAGATGGAAAACGACATTGCCAGATAGACAGAAAGACAGAGAGAGAGAGGGGGGGAAAGAGAGAGAGAGAGAGAGAGAACGAGGGAGAGAGAGAGAGAGAGAGAGAAAGGGGAGGGGAAAGCTAGGGGCGGGAGAGATAGAAAGTTGGACGTAGTCCGTACTGTATTTATTTATATAATATTTGTCTCTCTGATCACCCCCCCTCCCCAGCTCCGATATTTTGTTACCCTTTAGTTTGCCCTTTTTTTTCTTCATCATATATCTTTTCACTGAAGTATAATGTCCAACGTATAATAGTATTGTAAATATCGCATTTTAAACATTTTTTTTATATCAATAAATTTGATGCAACAGAAATTTTCATTCAAAAGTTTTACTTTGGAAATATAATTATTGTTCAGTAATATTCTTCGCATTTCGACATTATCAGCCGCTCGTTCTCTATTTCGTTTCCTATAATAAATATAAGGTATAATGTGTACATCATCAGGGATAATTACGTTATAATAATTAATCTCAAGGAAGAGATGATGTCGGCATACAAGCAAACGGAGGAATAGAAAACATTTAATAAAAAAAGATGAAGATGGAAAACGACATTGCCAGATAAACAGAGAGACATATAGAGGGAGAGAGAGAGAGAGAGAGGGGGGGGGAATAGAAAGAGAAAGAGAGAACGAGCGAGAGAGAGAGAGAGAGAGAGAGAGAGAGAGAGAGAAAGGGGAGGGGGAAGGGGGCGAGAGAGATAGAAAGTTGGACGTAGTCCGTACTGTATTTATTTATATGATATTTGTCTCTCCGATCATCCTCCCCCCCCCCCCCCCACCCCAGCTCCGATTTTTGTCGCCTTTAGTCTGTCCTTTTTGTTATCATATAGATATCTTTTCGCTGAAGTATAATGTCCGACGTATAATAGTATAGTCAATATAGCATAATAAACAGTGTTTATATCAATTTGTTGCAACAGAGATTTTCATTCAAAAGTTTTGCTTTGGAAATATAATTATTCGCATTTAGACATTATCAGCCGCTCGTTTTTCACTTCGCTCGCTATAATAAATATAAGGTATAATAAAGTGTGTACATCATCATTATTTTATAATAATCTATCTCAAAAAAGGAATGTTGCCGGCATACAAGCAAACGGCGGAACAAAATTGGCAGATAGACAGAGAAAGCGACCGAGTGAGAGATAGAGGGAGAGAGAGAGAGACACATAAGCAGAGAGAAAGAGAGAGAGAAACAATCATTTCTTATAATTATCTATTTGTCTGTGACATTTTATCTTTATCACATATTCTTGTCCATTCCTTTATCGTGCATGATTGTTGTCTTTGAATGAGTGTTTCAGATAGGGTAAAGTCTGGCTTTACGTTATATGATTTTTTATTTATGAGAATGTCGGAACGTGATCCCATTTAAAAAATTTAAAAACAGCAACGACAACTGCAATAACAACGAGACCCTTCCCTCCCCCAAAACAACATAAAGCAGGGTTATACATGAATACAAAGTCAGTTCATTGTTGTTGTTGTTGTTGTTTGGTATTATCGGCGTTTCATTCTTTTTTAGAATATTTACGCCTTTCACTTTATTTATTTTTTTCTTCTATTTTTTGGTACTATTTGTAAATTCATACTCTTCTCTTTTTGTTTTGATAATATAATCTCAGATCTGTCATCCAATTATTCAATTATACCCTTACCTTACTTCCGCTCTTTAGAGTTTATAGCCATGACAACGACCCGTACCCTCAGCAACGTTCATTGTTCCTCTTACGTAACTCAGCTGTGGGAACATGCATGGGCCAAAGACAAAGACAAAGCTCTTTTCGCACATTCTATATAGGTCCCAAATACTTGCAGACATTTCTGTGTCGGTTTTATTTGTATTTATACTTTGTCAATACATATACTTACAAACTAAAATTGTCAAAATTTGGCAATATATTCATACATATTGATATTTATATGGCATAAACATGCTCAAAGCGCTTTACATTAGTAAATAAAACAAACTAATTATTTTGCTCTCCAAATGGCACATCGGTATAGTCTGTACTGTATTTATTTATTATTATTCTATTTTGTCTCTCCTTTCACCCCAACCCTCCCCCATCCTGGATTCTTCTTTAGTTTCATTTTATCATGTCAATATCTTTTCGCTATAGTATAATGTCCGACAAAATAATATTATAACCGTCAATTTAGGCCGGTAAATTATTTCATATGAATATGATGCAACAGAGATTTACATTCAAATCCTTAATTTCTTATAAATTGTGTATTTTTCTCATAAAATTGAGTATCTAAATAAAAAGAGAAAGAAGAAGAACAAAATAAGAATGAGGCGAAGAAGAAGAAGAAAAGATAACGAAGAAGAAAACCCTACGAAAGAGCTGAAAGAACTGAGAGGCTTGGAGCACAGCAGAGAACGGCCGTGCAACGTGTTCTCGACATGAGAAGACCAGATTGGCAAATGATCTGCGCATGCGCTAGGTTCCCGTTAGTCGAAGCCTCTGGCCGCTTGAACGCACACGCATTGTGGCTGAGCGGTCTCATGGTACGGCGTGTTTGATTTTTAATCTCGTTTGTGAGGTGGCTATCAGGCTGAATAATGCCGAGCTGAACGGGTTAATAATTATTAAAGATCTATGCAGTCTCTATGATGAGCTTGCATATGTGCTTTAGAACTTTAATACTGCGACCTAACAAATCTTAAAACTCTTGCTCGCTCGCATCAAGATCAGTACAAATAGTATTTTTCAAATACGATACATCAGGCCTATATGTACAAGTTCACCTCGAAATTATCATTTTCACTACCATCATCACCGTCGTCATTATCAATTATCACCATCCCTATGCCATCATGATCAACATCTTCATCATCAGTTACCAACATCACTATCATCATCAGTTATGAACATCACTATCATCATCATCACAACCATCAGTTACCAGTATCAATATTATCATCGTCATCATCATCATGATGTTATCAATATCATCATCATCAGTTATCATTCAACGCACTATCATCATCACATCATAAGTGAATATCAACATTTCTATCATCATTGTTACTGTAGATGTTGGTCTAGAGGATATGTTACAGGAATTTGGATCGCATGATTCGCAATTCATGTCTTGCAGTTTATTATTTATCAGGGCAGCCATGCTAAAGCCGGGGTAATAATTGTGGAGCACCAGGAGTGTCCAGTCTGACAGACATGAGCAGCTATACAAGAACCCACTTTTTGTTATTAACATCAGTTATCAACATATCACTATCATCATCATTGATCAGCATCATCATCACCATCAACGTTGTCACCATAATGACCAATATACATGTAATCATTATCAATATTGATTGATTGATGATTGATTTTTATTCGACAAGCTTCCAATATACAACAATATACAATAATAACAGTGTTTCATGAAACAATTAGTCAGTGGTTTTCACCGACTAATATCATGTTCACCGACAATTCTGTAGTCACCGACTATTTTCCAGGCCAGTGATTGGTCACATTTAGTCAGCGCTGACTAAATTGTCGGTGAACATGATATTAGTCGGTGAAAACCACCGACTAATTGTTTCATCAAACGCCCCCCAGAAATAAGTCAGCTTAAACAGGATAACCCACGAAAGCTCGAGACCTTATTTCCAGTGGGGTCAACTGGAAACATCAACATCATCAGCCGCTAACATCACTACACTGAACTACCAGAAACACTTCTTGAAATCGCATGTACACACGTGTATATAAAATATACTTGAAAAAAAAAAACGAATTTGATTACCGGTAATGAAAGCTCTTGATTTTTTATATACATCTGAAACAAGACAATTCATGAAATTTTCAGCTTCATTCACGATTATGAATGACATCTTGTTTTGGCAAATTAAATGTTATTGATCTAAAAAGCATTATGTACAGTATAGTACCAGCATAAAATGACTTTGGGATGTTCACAAAATACTGAGGAAACACACACTGACAGATGCTATTTCAATACATACTAATGTAAAAGCAATCGATCATCATCATAACTATCAGACACTGATCACGGAAGAATACTATTTAAAAACAAAGACAGAATAAAACAGTATTTGAAAGCTGCACATACTTCATTTAAAAGACGAATTTGCATGTACATCATATTATAAATTGCCGTTAGAAATAGTGAAATCACCAATGTTAAACCTGGTCGGTGTTTAACTTTTTTCTTCTATAGTTGATTTACAGTAGGCTTGCGGGTGCACCATGTGAGAGAGAGGGAGGATTGAGGAGTCCTGAAAAGTACTCTCGGTAATCTTTCTTGAGGGTGTGTAGTCCTGAAAAGGACTGTTGGTGTAGTCTTGAAAAGGACTGTTGGTGTAGTCTTGAAAAAGACTGTTGGTTATCTTTCTTAGCTTATAGTTCTAAAGAGAACTATAGTGCTTGGAGAGGATGGGTGGCGGGAGTGGCTCGACGTTTCGAAACAGGTTGACTATCCGTCGTCAGGAGTGAATATATTCATATATTCACATTCATATTTATTTCATTTCCAACAGAAAGGTAAACAAAAATATTACATATTTTTTTCATACATAATTCAATTTTTTTGGAAACTACACAAATACACTATACAAATACACTTTGCACATAACAAAATTATTACAAGAAATTCTTAATTTCTGAGGAAATGGGGGGGGGTCCACAAAAAAGCAGTGCACCCGCAAGCCTACTGTATATTTACATTACCATGCAAGCCGATACTTACAAGCTATAGTTGATTTGTTATGCAAATGCTTACCATAATAAGAGAAATATCATTTTTTTAATTATATACACAGTATATTGACAAATTATGTTTCACTATGTTCAGTATGTTCACAAAAGTATCTATCGCTTGATTATAAATGATTCATATAATTGTATATGTTCCAAATACTATATATCATATATAATATATTTCCATAATTGCTCCACTTTATAAATGAATATATAGAAATGAACATATATATTAATATATATAAAGTTTTATGACAGTTAAATTCCTATAAACACAATATCATTGCATATTGAAAACTGCATAAAAGTAAAGGCACTTTTGAGTTTGAATCCACTATATGTACATGTATATGCACATGATTATTAAATTTTCACATTACTTATTTGGCATTTTCGATACTTGGAATAGTGAATATCAACCAACAATGTACAAAGGAATTATGTACCACAATAGCAAACTTAAAAAATACGAAACTTGGCAAGGGTAGGAATAATGTAGTTGTTAAATTATATGCATATACATTCTCTTTTCATTCTTCAAGTGGCACTAAAATTTGCTTGATTTATTCTTCTTTTGCACATTAAGAAAACTTCAAATTTCACATTTTTCATGATTACAACCATGCAACGTTTCTATACACATCCTGCTTAATATATACATAAACATGCATAAAATTTGGTATAAAACTTCATATAAATTGAAAATTTGAACAGGTTTTTTTTTTTAACAGTTTAGTAAAACAAAACAAAAATGAAAATTTGAACAGTAATAGTAAAAAAAAAAAAGGCATGTTTCGGAAACAAATGATATCTTGTTGATGAAAACTTCTGGGCTCTATTTCATAAAACTTGTTATCAATAACAACTGCTATATTACTGTGACAAATTAGATCTCAACCAATCACATACCACGATTACTGTAGCTTATAACAGTTACTACAACTTGCGATTGATAACAAGCTTTATGAAAACTGGTCCTGACAGTACATGTGCACTGAAGAAAGTCAGCTGATGAAATTGAGCTGTCATAATATTTCTGGAAGTATAAAGACATGTAATACCCGTGCATAAAGGAATAGCCTCATTTAAAAATGGACGACATGAATACAGGCAAATTAGCATAAGAATTCTCAGGGTGAAACCAGACAGTATCTGGAATTTGAAGGAATATCTTTTACAATGACCTGCAAGAGGATTCTACTGTTCTAGCCTCTCGGTATTTTCTCAGTATTTCCTCCCCCTTTTGGACTACTGTTGCATACTTTCCAAAGATATCAATAGACTTGCTGTTCTGTCGTTATAAGTTCTCTGATTTATAGCGCCATTTTGTAGCCGTTTCAATTAGCAAGTTTGGTGAATCTGTCGTTTATAAGACATATGCAGTTAACAACTTAAAGGGATATTGCACTAAAAGCGTTTCTCTAACGCCATTTCAGGTCAGCTGAAGCAGTATCGTCCGTAAATCACTGCACTGTTGGTTCCTCTAAATTCTTCACTACGTAACATAAGAGTTTATTTGGTTAAGCATGAGATGATGCTGTGCAAGTTCATCGTTTCAGTCTCTCTTAAGTACAATTCTACTTTTTTCATTTTCCACCATCCTCCCTTACTGCCCAAGACTACCAAAATCTTTTCTACTTCTTGTACAAGTACTGATAACTAGAAAATCACAGAGATTGATCATTTGTACTTGCTGGATCAAACGTTTGGAACAACGGAAGACATGTTTTTATCTTTTAATCCTTGAAATCTTGCCTATCAAAACTAAAGATGTTCAAAACAACTTTCAATCAATAGAAGATGTTTTTATGTACATGAATGACCAGTGCCCTGAGCATTTTGCATAATAGATACATGGAACTTTATACATGTTTATACCAAGTATCATTGTTATCTTTATCATCATCATTATTCATACAATTATTTCTATTCATGTCATTTTCGTTTAATACCATCTCACATTCTTAACAGAGAGGGAGCATTTCTTTCTTCTTCATGATGTTTGGCTGTGTAAATGTATTCAATATGGGGGATACATCTGGCGTTCTTTGACAGAGTTGGAGCGTTTCCTCCCCCTGATATTTGGCCGAGGCTCAGTCAGGGCAGTAGAACGACCCCCATACGCCTCATTAACTGTCCTGTTATGGAGCATGTTTCGATCAAGCTGTACTGGATTGTTGGCATATTGGTTCAGGGAAGCTCTTCGCTGAACCAGTCTTTCTGGAGAGGGTTGTGGTTGTGGTTGACGGCACATATGCTGAGGTCGTTGATCTGACCTGTAATGCAACGTAGGGCCACAGCTCTGATTTTGTCCAATTTCATTTCCATTTGATCCCTTCCGATGTTGAGAAGTCCCTGCACCGGTGGCCTCACCAGTTGGCCTTCTTTCACTCCTTATATGCTCTTGTCTCTCTGGACTCACTTGATGTTGACGCCACTGATGCTGAGGTCCTCGATCAGACCTGTTTAGCTGTTGCTGGTGGTAACGGCTCTGATTTTGTCCCGTTCCATTTCTATTTGTTCTGTTCCGATGTTGAGAAGTCCCTGCACCGGTGGCCTCACCAGATGGTCTCCTTTCACTCCTACCATGCTCCTGTCTCTCTAAACTCACTTGTTGTTGATGGTACTGATGCTGAGGTCTTTGATGTGACCTGTTTTGCCATTGCTGATAGTCAAGGCTCTGATTTTGTCCCGTTTCATTTCCATTTGAACTGTTACGATGTTGAGAAGTCCCTTCACCAGTGACTTCACCAGATGGTCTCCTTTCTCTCCCACCATGCTCAATGGTTTCCGTTCTCCTTGAACTCTGGGGTTTCCGCTTGCCAACGGTGTGACCTGCTATATTTTTACCCTTCTGCTGCCCGAAAAGCCTCTGATTGTCACTCATTCCTGTAGCAATTACATGTAAACTCTTCCCATCCTCTGTGTCAAGGCTAGCATCAAGACCCGAGCTATTCCTCCTCCTTTGTCTTTGAGGACTAAAGGTGCTACTGCTGCTGGCAGATATGCCTAGGACTGTACTTGCAACTGATCGACTGTGGCTCATTAGGTTGTGATGCCCCTGGTCACCAATGACACCTCTATCCTCTCCATGACTCTTTGATGCTACGTTTCCATCAGGCTTCTTTAGTATGCTTTGAGGTTGAGCAGGGTCTCTGGATGATGGGGAAAGATTTCTACGTCCACCAAATGACTTCTCGCTAGAGGAGGACTCGCCTTGGACGGAGCTGCACGACCTTGGGACCTTCGCTGCTCTTCCATGATCCTCTGTCCCTGGATCAGGTGGCACTCGCCTCTTGCCCCTGTTATCTATTCCAACATCGCCAGATACATGTTTATGTCTTGAAGGGCTGTTCTCCTCCACCCCTTTGCTCGAAGCCTTGACATTTAGACAGTCCTTAGGATCCTTACTGTGGCACTCCTTGGCATCTTTACTGTAGGAAGCCTGCGAAGTCCTGAAGACAAGCTGTCTACCGGTAGCATCATCTACCAAGGATTTCCAGTTGCCGCTCATCTGCACAGAAATAATTGTGGATACTTTGACTGGATTTTAGGCATTATATGGGTAGCCTTGAGTTACGGTAGTGGTGAAGAGTGGGAGAATGGAACGAAATGCTTTGAATGTCAAAGACTACAAACTAATTACAAGGAACACAATATTTGTAGTCATAGTTAAAGGAAGAATACATTACATGACTTATCCTTGTGCTGGGACGTCACGACCATGATATTTGTATGCATGAAAAGAAAGAGAATGGACAGATCCTTTTTAGATCTGTCCATGTTTGGTGCAGGGGGAGAGATATCAGCTGGGAGCGAGTGCCATATTCAGGATGCCCTATCCAAACGTTCGTCCTTTAGAAAAAGGCTTACATTTGTGAAGACAATGAATGCAGAGAAATAATAATAAAGTTTGTACCTTCTGTAAACTCTTCATGTTGCCAACGATGATGAGGCTGAACATGGATCGAGTCAAAGCTAGATTCAAGACCTGTTTGTTCATCACGAATCTGAAAGAATGGAGAGGGAAAAAAATGGACATAAATGATGATGGCTTACATTATAAAAGGTCATCTGTAATGTTAATATGTATGTATTTTTGAAAGTTAAACTTTTTATCTCATTACAAAAAATCTTTACATTCCAATTTTTAAGATGTTAAGCTATAGGCATGCAAGCTAGCCCGGCCCTCGTTTCATAAATGCAGGCTATGTCACAGTGGAAAACACTCCGTCCATCAGACAGGACATTAAACGGAGGCCGATGTAGAGGGGAGTAACCATATTTGCTTGTTAAGAACCCACTGCACTATTCTTATAAGAGTAGGGGCAAACTCCAGTGTGGTGGTGCACCTGCGCACCTCAATCAGTTATACTGGGAGGAGAGACCCAACGGTTACAACGATTTAGTTTGTTTTTGCCTCCCAGGCACAGGTGACGCCAAATACTTAATAATAATAATAATAATTCATGATCTGGCACCAGTGCATCAGTGAATTATTTGAATACTAACCCATTCTCTTTAGGTGTCCTGGAGGTGCTGGTGCAACACAGGATGATGACATCTTTCTCCAAGCCGTAGAAATTTGTAGGGGTTCCAACAAGCAGGCCAGGAATGTTCTTCCTGTAAAGATACAAAAGTTTACAGTAAACTAAATCATGCATACCCTTACCAAGTTTTGTAATTTGGGAAGTATGTCAAAATTTTATTTGACCCTATTTATTTTTCTTGAGAATGTGACATATTGAAGCTTAGGCCTACATTTAAAAGTATTTGACAAAGGACTTAATTCAACCACCTTACATTTTTGTGCTCTGGCTTTGCCCCCGGGAAGGGCCTCAGGGCCTTGACAATCCATCTGGAAATGGACTCCTAACCAACCTGAACCCGAGGATGATAGAGACCCCAGATAATAATAATAATAATAATAATAGTGGCTTCTTGTATAGCGCTCATGTCAGTCAGATTTAACCCTCCTGGCGCTCCCGATTATTACCCTGGCTTTAGCACGGCTGCCATACGGCGCTCTAGCATTTCAAGGAATAAATTCCTACCAGGTACCCAGTTACTTCACCTGGGTGGAGTGTGGTAAATGTAGATCAATGTCTTGCCAAGGGATAGGGGTTGAGCCGCATGTCAGATCTTGCGTGGGCCTCAAAGTTACGCGCCCTGTCTATCCTTGACCATGTCGGCTCGGTGACAAAAATTCAAGCCCATTCTCAAACCCACATGGGAAATGTCGGGTGAGAATGACTTCGGTTAGAAAAATCCAAGCGAGTCTTAGGGTCGGAAGGTATCTTGCAAAGGAACGCTTTCTAGCAGCCCCAGATGTAGACGATTGTTCAGCTTAGACCTCATAGGCTAGCTTGAAGTCATCCGTCAGGTGTATTCCCGAGGAAGGAGCCCCTTGAGAAGGGAAGAGAAGGGAAGTCTGGGCCGCATCCAGCTGAGCTGGAGTGTAGGTCTCCGGCAAGTATTTCTCCAGGAGAGCCTGTGCGTCGGCTGCCAAACCATGAGGGGTTTGGGGAACCACGCTGGCTAGTGACTCAGAAACAGAGTCACTATCCTGATTCCACAAAATCAGCTACATGGGGAACCTGGCCCAAATGGGTTGGGTGCAACCACGAGCAGGCAGTCTCCCCACCTGGAGGGGAGCCAAGCACAGCCGGGATACGAGGGGGAAACTCTGAACAGGCGGTTCTGTGCCTGCTGGGATCGAGCATTACTGAGTTCTAAACACGGGCCGAGCTCAGCGGGGCTTTCGGATAGTCTCTTACGGCTCGCAACTATCCGTCTGGGACAGTTGGGGGGGGGGGGGACCAGCTCCTGAGTGACTGTGGCTGTACATGCACTAGCTGTGTCACTCAAAGTGCACGGGTCACTAGCTGGACAATGCCAGTGATCCTGCTCAGGTGGGAGTCAGAGGTCGTCAAACCAACGGCTCCCATGAGTGGGGCTCGAGTGTCGGTGGTCGGTAGTCCGACGACACTCGTACCTGGGGAAGATAATCCGCAAGCAAGATGTCGACTAGTGTAGCAGGGTTCATCCAAGATGAAGCCGTCACACTCATGGAAGGGGGGTACGGGTAGCAAGATCAGAAGAATCCATGACAGATCCTGTGAACAAAAGGAAATCTTAGCAAACAAGCAAGAGCGAAATAAACCAAGAGCTCATTCTATTTCCAAAAGAAAAACAATCCCAAATAAAAGTGAAAGAAACTCACTCCCAAAGGCAAGCACAAAAAATTCTAAAGAAAAACCCAAACCCGAAAAGACAATAACTGCGCCGCAAGCCGTGCCCAGCGAGGTGACGAGAGCTATTCTATACAGTGGCAATAGATTAATCTTGCACTAAAAAAAGTGAAAAAAATCTTGAAAGTCTTTGGTACATCTATCCCATGATACATACAATGTGGAACAGGGATTTGTTTGCATATAAAGTTAAAGAAATATTTGTAATCAACCTCACCCTTGCAATCTTTCTAGAAGTTTTCCCTTTTGTCCTTCAGAGGGGGTGATTATGCCTACGGTGAAGCGTTCTCTTAGTTTAAGGAAGCCTGAAATCAGGAGCTCGATGAATGAAACCTCAGAGGTGTTGATAACTGAACTGTACATGAGAAAAGATCAAAGAATGAAAATGATGACTTTTTTCATTCACATGTCGCTCAATTTTTTGTGTGACAAACTTTGAGAAAATTGTAGCAAGGTTCGATCTACAAACTCCTTATCATACACAGGCCAAAGCTGGGGAATCTCTTATTTTCATGTACATTTCATGATGATCAAAGAATAGTAATGGTCTGTCAACAAAATATGCAGTAGTACATGTCTCAACATACATACATTCAATGAAGTAATCACAAAGTGACCTTTAACCTTACACACCCGATATCTATTCAGTTCATCTTTCAATGCTATCATAGATGTGTCGTGTTTGTCACAATCTGTTCTATAGTTTGCATGTTAAACAGGAAGTCCACCCTGACATTAAATTGGTGGGAGAAAGTTTGAGCAAAAACTGATAACAAAAATAAGAAAGTTATTAATTTTTAAATTTTCAATCGATCAAACACAAATTGGCAACTCTGTGATGTATCTTGCAAAGTCCCCTCCCATTCGCTCTGTTTTAACGAATCAGACCGAAATGTCATTTTTTTTGCCCTTAAGAATTTACAACATCTGGGTGGAGAGTGGCAAATGTAGATTAATATCTTGCCAATGGACATTACTGCAGTAGCAGGATTTGCACCGCAAACAACGTGATCCACAGTCCGGTGACGTATCCACTAGATCATGACATCTCTATGTGTCAATCTATGTACCATATTAACTCCTTGGCTACCGGTACTGAATTCATTCTTTCCTATAGGCTTAATACAGTAGCCACCAGGCTCCCGTAGGCGATGGGTTGAAATCATTCTACTTGTTTTGTGAAACGTATAGAGATAGTAAGCAAATGATTATCATTGGTGAAGGTGATGGGACAAACTATCACTTCCGAGGCGATATGGATGTAGCTATCTTTCCTCAGCTTCTCTTTCCGAAGCGAAGCTGAGGAAATATAGCGTATATATTCAGATCGCCGAGGAAGTGATAGTTTGCCATCGCCTGAAACCAAAAGGTGATTATTTGCTTTATATTCAACATCGGAAACATTTCACTTCTTCCGTAATTTTAGAGCAACAAGTCATAAATTAAAAGCTAGCAAACGGTGTACGATACGTACAGTGCATGCAGTATGGTGGTGTGACCATTGAGTTCGCGCATGACCAAAGTTTGCGTACTAACACTTAAAGCGCCTAAAGAGGAGAGCAATACGCAACGTATTACAAGAAAGTGCGTTGCACTGTGTAGATAGTACTTCTATCTTCAGTGAAAGTGCAACTAACTTTTCTTCTCCCATCAATGATGGGAGAACTATCTTTTATCACGTGACTTACTTTTGACCAATCATAGAGCAAGATTCTATTAGGAATATAAAAATATATATGTGCATAGTAGAAGCCTAACATGACCTCTATCGTCATACCATATACTCACTCTCTGTGTAAAGATTCTTTTCCATCAGCCACGTCAAAGATGATATATGGACGAAGACAGAAGAGCAGGTGCCTACAGAAAATCAAGAAATCAATGGATTGTCACCATCAGGATGATGTCTGATACAATAAATTGACCCATTGACTACTGAATTCTCCTATATTCCAATAATAAATAGTACAGTTATCATCTGGTTAAGACAGGAGCTGGAGTAAGGGTGGGGTAAGGGTTAGGACAAGAGTTGGTGGTAAGGGTGAGGAAACAGCTAGGACAAGAGTTGGGGTAAAGGTTAGGTAAGGGTTAGGATAGGAGCTGGGGGTAAGGGTGAGGTAAAAATTAGGATAAGAGTTAAGGTAAGGGTTAGAATAAGAATAGGGTAAGGGTAAGGTAAGGGTTAGGACAAGAGTTGGGGTAAAGGTTAGGATGATAAGTGTTGGGGTAAGAGTGAGGCTAACATTAGGATAGGTGTTGGGGTAAGGGCGTGGTAAGGGTTAGGATACGAGTGGGGTAAGGATGAGGTAAAATTAGGATAGGTGTTGGGTAAGGGCGTGGTAAGGGTTAGGATACGAGTGGGGTAAGGATGAGGTAAAATTAGGATAAGAGTTAGGGTAAGGGTTGGGTTAAGTGTTGGGATAATGGAAGGGTAAGGTTAGGGCAAGAGTTGGGGTAAGGGCGACGTAAGGGTTAGGATAAGAGTGGGGTAAGGGTGAGGTAAGGGTTAGGATACGAGTGGGGTAAGGATGAGGTGAGGGTTAGGACGAGAGTTGGGGTAACAGCAAGGTAAGAGTTTGGATAGAGTTGGGGTAAGGGTGAGGTAAAGGTTAGGATAGGAGTTGGTGTAAGGACAAGGTAAGAATTAGGATAAGATGCCAAATCACTTACTTATTCTGAGTCTTGAGTCTGTGTAAGTACATAACAGACGATGGATATTTTGCAATTTCTTCCTTCATGCGGTATTGAACCTCCCATCGGTGGATACGTCTGTCCTCTATCTCAAAGTTCTCAGCGAGCCTCTCTAGCATGGAATGACCGAAGTCCAGATCCCGGGCCCCCTAGGTGCATGTACAAGAGATAATGGTACAGTGAAACCTGTATATTAAGACCACTCAAAGGTGACAAGAAAAGTGGTCTTTAAAGACAGGTGTTCTTTTTGTATTGGGTTCTGTAGTACATCAGGGTTCTATGAAAATCGATTGTTATAGTTAAGGGGAACAGAAAATGTGGTCTTTATAGACAGGTGGTCTTTACATAGAGATGGTCACTAAAGCAGGTTTCACTGTATTCCACACATATTGCATGATAAAGTATCCAAAACAACAAAATATATGCATGAAGGAGGTGGACATACAGTTTAGAACAAAGATATGCAAAAATCGTACCAGTACGTACGTACCTTTGAGCAAATGCTAACAATGCCCTGTTCTTGATCGCCTGCCAAGAACACACGCTTAGTTTTACACTGAAGGGCAAGGAGAATCTCAGTTTCCAAACAATGGCCGGCCTACAAAAAAGAAACAGAATCAGCTGCAAACATACTGTAAATGAAGAAACTTTGTGAAGACCAACACTTTTCCAGTTTTCAAGAGTGGTCCAAACCCATAGGCAAACTATTGCAAGGCTCCCTGACAGTGGCTCTAGCAGGCTGCACATTTTCCTATGTTGTAGTAGTTGCTGCAAATCATAAAATCATCAACTTTCGGAACTCAAGACTGTCTTCAGGTCTTTCATAGCCAACATATACTTCATGTGGGAAGTTCTTTCTTATGAAACCAAACTTAAATGAATGCTCCCCCCCCCCTCCCCTCCCTCCCCCACACTTTGTCCCAACTACCAGAACTGAACCTTCTAATGTTGTCAAGGATCTACAAGCATATACTGTACTTACATCATCCACAATGAGTGCAAACACATTTCCTGCCAAGCTGCTTCTTACGATCTACAAATAAAACAAAACAAACAAGATGAATGCAACTATTATGAGAATGCAGACAGGCTTGCACATATTAACCAATGACTTGTCCTAATTTTATTTTTTATGAAACTCAATAACATTTCTACAATTCTACTAACATAAAAGATAACTTTGTTTTCAGAATTCCACCCTTTTGGAAATAGATATATTCAGCACTCAAAGAGTTAAAGGTAAAAAAAGAGACAATTGGAGACCGTAAATGGGTTGTTTTGCAAAGCTTTTGTCATACACAGTGCATTGCAGGTTAATTGGTGCAGGGTGTGTAATGTGGGTGCCATTGAAAGTTTAATAACTTCACTAGAACTGCGAAGGTCCCTGGTCCAAGCCCCAGTACATCACTACCAATTTTTAAACATTCTATTTCAATGATTTCGCTTGGGTAAAAGATACAGAAAGAAAAGTAGAACTGTTTACCTCTAATCCACAATCTTCAAGCGTGCACCCCACAATATCAGCTTGCTGAAGTATTTTAGTTTGAAGGTCATCTTCAGACAGCTCGACATCTATATGAAATCCATCCATAAGAAATATGTAATCCAATCGATAGTGTCTTTAAAATTTCATGTTTCATTGTAGGAACACAGTACAGGACAATTTTGCTCCACTAGCATCTCAATCTTGGCCACTTAAGCAAGAAAAGTCCACTTGAAACTCAGGTGAGACAATATAAAGTCAATCAAATGATCTGGCAATTAGAAATTTCTTTTTAAATAAAGTATAAATACCGCAGTAGCATACTGCTGTACAAGTACTGCAGTTGTAGTACCGCAGTGGTACTGTAGTACAAGTATTGGGGTAGTACTGCAGTACAAGTACCGCGGTAGTACCGCAGTCGTACTGTAGTGCAAGTATTGCAGTAGTACTGCAGTACTAGTACCGCAGTGGTTGTACAAGTATTGCGGTAGTACTGCAGTACAAGTACCACGGTAGTACTGAAGTAGTTCAGCGGTAGTATACATATACCGTACTGCGAAAACGATCAATTTAACGTAATACAAGTACTGCAGTAGTACCGCAGTCCATTTTAACAAGGGTATACAGGTATAGCAATATTCAGGTCTAAGAGTACAAGTGATGAATAAATGATGCAGGGTAATGAAATTGCTTTGTTTGATTGGCCATTAACAAATAATATGTACAGTGGAACCTGGATATAAATACCACCAAAGGAAGACAAGAAAAGTGGTCTATATGGTCTTCATATACAGGTTCCTATGAGAAATTACTGTCAAGGGAAATACAAAATGTGGCCTCTTTAAACAGGTGGTCACTAAAGCAAGTTTCACTGTATTTACATTTGGAAATGGAGGAAACAGGATCCAGAAACTTACAGGGTGATCCTTGCTTTCTCTTACTCGCCACTACGGTGGATAGAAGAAACTCTTTGAGACGACGATCGGCTTCCTCAGCTTTATCGACACGGATGATTTCTACACCATCTACGATGTGTTCTAAAACATAAAGGCAGGACAAAAAAAATGGTTGAAAAGAATACCCATCAGGTCCCAAATTCATAATACAAAATAATACTTTTTCTCATTTGCACATGCATCAATGGTCTGGCTCCTTTTCTGTTAAAAACATAATTATAAATGCATTTGGGTACTTGATAAAAACACTACCGCAAAATCCCCTCAAGCGCTATCTTAGATTACCTGTAGCAGCATAACTCGCTGCTTCCCTAGCTGTGCTGTTGGTTCTCGCATCAAGTCTGCGAAGTGGGAATTAGATATTGGGCTATGGGGAGATAAAGTATCAGTTCAGTATTGCTCTAAAAGGATGTCTATTGTCTCAGACAAATATCATCCATTATAGGGTAAAATATAGTCAAATAGTGACAAATTTTTTATTAGAACCAATGATTACACGCACACTGTATGGGTCGATCTTTAAAACTGAAGAAAAATAAATTACTCACTCATAGCATTTATATAAGACGTAACGATTGTAATGGTTAAATCTACATTCACAGATCGGTGGCTATCGTTATTGGGTGAATAGCTGGAGGATGACAAATACCTAAAGAGTCTTTAAAACTGAAATAAAGTACTCACTCATCGCCTCTCTGTTATCCTTCAGAGCCTCCCATATCTTCCTTAGCAAGACATCTAACGACTGATTAGTCGGGGCACAGACCAGCAGTTTGTAAGGGTTTTTCAAAGTCTGCAAAAAAAGGCAAGAAATACAGTTATAGCTCTGCTGAAGTCGGAGCTGTTGGGACCGCAAAAAATGGTTTGACTCGTACAAAATTCGAATTCGGAAATGTACCAAATTCATATTTTGCTATTGGTCAAAACATTTATTAGACTAAGTGAAAGTTCAGCATGTGCAACTTCGAGTTATGCAGATTTAACTGTATATCGCAGTATATACCCCTTGCAAATTTGATGTATTTTGTGGTTTTTTGTAACTCAAGAATGATGAACTGGCTGAATTAAGGGTTTTGTTGAATACCTTTAATAGATGTACGCTTACGCCACATTCTCAAGAAACAATCTGGGGGGGGGAACTATTTTTGTATGCATTTAAAAAGTTACATAACTTGGTAAGAGTATGATTAATTCAGTTTTTTTAGTGATGCACTAAAAGGACTAAAAACATCAATATTTTCTCGTCACTCAACTCATTTCTACGGCAACAGGGCTTTTGGAGTGGCTGCCCGAACTCTCTGGAATTCGCTCCCTCTGCATGTCCGTCAAGCTCCCACACGACAGACTTTCAAAACCCTTCTTAGAACTTACCTGTTTCGTTTGTAATTTTTGACATTACTTTTCATCTATGTATAATAATTGAATATACTCTAATTGATTTGTCATAAGTATTTGCTATTTGTATTAACTTTGCTCGCAATGAATTCTCTTAGCTACATGTCTTTAGTTTAAGGTCTTTATATTTCGTTCTTAATTTGTAACTATTTAAATATACTTGTACTTGATTGTTTTTAACTTTGTAAAGCGCATAGAGAAACTTTGGTTTATTATGCGCTCAATAAATCTATCTTTATTATTATTATTAATATTTTAATATTTGTATAAACTTCTGTTGTAACCTGCTCTCTATATTCTGAAGTGGAGCTGCTGGAAACCCTACATGTATAATGAAAAATGTAAGTTTTTGAGCATGGAGTTGAAAGTCAAGGTGATATTCAAAGTATATATAAGATTTGAATTTAAATAAAAACGAATAAAAAAACACACATCTGGAGTGTGTTTTTTTTTTTTTTTACATCAGTCTTCAATTACCTATAATGAGGTTTTGTTGACAAGATTGTTGACAAAGAGCTAATTGACAACAGCATGAGTGTTGATATAAATTGAACCTAGCTTACCTTATGAATCTTCTTATGTTCTCTTGCGATCCGTCTAACAAGTCGACGCAAAAATGATGTCTTTCCCGTTCCCGCTGCCCCTATCATGAGTCGAATCACTTTCAAGTGTGATGAGGTACTTGAAGTTGATTCCATGTAGGACTTTAGCAACTCATCGTCAGATACTCTTCCTTCCGCGTGTATCTGTGGTGCAAATCACACATTCATTAGTCAAATCACTTTTGATTATGATGCCGTTCTACTTACGGATTTCATGTAGGAGTTTAGCAACTCATCGTCAGATACCCTTCCATCTGCTTGTACTTGTGGTGGAAATCACATATTATGTTCCGTTCAGATCAGTACGCTTTCAAAACTCCCGATTTCTTAATCTCCCTAAGCTCAATACTAAATGGGGGGAAAGAACCTTCTCTCATGCAGGGCCTTTGCTGTGGCAGGCTCTTTCATGGGAGATTCTTAACTCTTTATGCGCCACTTAAAAAACCCCCCTGTGCCACATTCTTTTAGGGTCACACATTTCGAGGGAATCTTTATTGACTCTGCTGAATCAAGAGGCTATAACTCTTCACTGGATGATCATGATGAAAAATATTGTGCAGCAAAGTTGTAGACCGGAAAACGTGCTTTTCGATGAACCGTCATTTGTTATATTTTGAATTATCATTTTTATAATAATCATAATTATATAATGTTTAATTTTTCTTATTTACGGCAGTTTTTTATCCCTCTAGAATTTCTTATTTAGCAATGATAAGACATCTTCAAATCGAATCTATTAGAAAGGTGGACTTCTTACCTTTCTTTACATACCTTGCTCAAGTATTCTAACAATTCAGAAGGTTAGTATTTAGGTTGTTGAAGAAAAGAAGTTCAATAGGGAGAGACTTGAAAGTACCCCGCTCAGCCACCCTTGACAATGGGCTAATCTGCCCATTGAAATCCCTATTACCCCAGGTTATTGTCAATGTCCGGTTTAGCGGGGCATGAAAAGGGACGTCGTGGGGATGTTTTTCTTTGTTGTGCCATGATAAGTCAATAAGAAATAAGAGAATGTTATTGATTTTGCCCACTGGTATGAGCATGTAAAAATGGTATAGGCATAATATATTATATGTGATATACATGACATAATCAGCATCTTATTGAAATGTCTCATTATGAATGTTCACCGCATCTGTTCTCTCACCTTCTTTACCCCTCAATAAAATTGATTTCAAGTACATTTATCACAGCCATAGATATACAAAGAAAGAATGAATCAATCTTAAAATATAAACTATATTGCATTGTTTTCCATTTACTTTATTGTGAGAGAGCTTATTATCAGAAATGATTGACGAGTGGAGTATGCAATGAATAAAATATGGAGAACGGACGTGAGAGACATTATGAGAGAGAAATAGTGATATGAAATGAAAGGACTTTACTGTGAATAAAGATTATAAGAGAAAGAGATAAAGATGACGGCAAGACAGGATACATATTGATACGAAAATAACAATAATAATGAGATAGAGATGACGGAAAGAAAGAGAGTAAACACTGATAGCATAAGAATGAATAAAGATAATAAGAGAAAGATATAGAGATGACGGCAAGACATAGGGTACATATAGATAGGAAAATGATAATAATAATAAGATAGAGATGACGGAAAGAAAGAGAGTAAACACTGATAGCATAAGAATGAATAAAGATAATAAGAGAAAGATATAGAGATGACGGCAAGACATAGGGTACATATAGATAGGAAAATGATAATAATAAAAAGATAGAGATGACGGAAAGAAAGAGAGTAAACACTGATAGCACAAGAATGAATAAAGATAATAAGAGAAATATATAGAGATGACGGCAAGACATAGGATACATATTGATAGGAAAATAATAATAATAATAAGATAGAGATGACGGCAAGAAAGAGAGTAAACACTGATAGCATAAGAATGAATAAAGATAATAAGAGAAAGATATACAGATGACGGCAAGACATAGGGTACATATAGATAGGAAAATGATAATAATAATAAGATAGAGATGACGGCAAGAAAGAGAGTAAACACTGATAGCATAAGAATGAATAAAGATAATAAGAGAAAGATATAGAGATGACGGCAAGACATAGGGTACATAATTATAGATAGGAAAATGATAATAATAATAAGATAGAGATGACGGAAAGAAAGAGAGTAAACACTGATAGCATAAGAATGAATAAAGATAATAAGAGAAAGATATAGAGATGACGGCAAGACATAGGGTACATATAGATAGGAAAATGATAATAATAATGAGATAGAGATGACGGCAAGAAAGAGAGTATTACACTCATAGCATAATAATGAATAAAGATAATAAGAAAAAGATATACAGATGACGGCAAGACATAGGGTACATATAGATAGGAAAATGATAATAATAATAAGATAGAGATGACGGAAAGAAAGAGAGTAAACACTGATAGCATAAGAATGAATAAAGATAATAAAAGAAAGATATAAAGATGACGGCAAGACAGGATACATCTTTCTTTCATTAGTTTTATTCATTCTTATTCTATCACTGTCTACTCTCTTTCTTGCTGTCATCTCTAGCTCTTTCATTAATTTTTATTCATTCTTATTCTATCAGTCTACTCTCTTTCTTGCTGTCATCTCTATCTCTTTCTTTCATTATTTTTATTCATTCTTATTCTATCACTGTCTACTCTCTTTCTTGCTGTCATCTCTATCTCCTTCTTTCATTTTTTTTATTCATTCTTATTCTATCAGTCTACTCTCTTTCTTGCTGTCATCTCTAGCTCTTTCATTAATTTTTATTCATTCTTATTCTATCAGTCTACTCTCAGGGAACACTTTTATCACTAGAGTCTTCGTCACTGCTCGATTCGTCGGAATCAGAGTCCATGCTCCATGCTTCCATAGTAACAAGATCTCGAGCCTCCTCTACACTAAACACACGTTGACGTTTTCCAGCAGGTGCCATCGTAACATCAGTAAAAAAAATCCAAAGAAAACCGCTAAATACACGGTAATTTCGAATGTAACACTATGAAGAAAAACAGTTTACCGGAAAGTGTGCGATGTATACAATGTAAACAATAGTAAACGCAACGCGTGGCTACACACTGCGAGCGGTATTATGAATGTCTAATTGACTCGTATACATCTGTGCAAAAATGCGAAGTTGGCACGCCTACGTCCGTGCAAATCGGCGAACAAAGCAAACAAAGAGTTAATAGCAGATCAAGATTATTAATACCCCTTTAATTTGATGAGGGGAAAATCCATTTTTCACAGACTTAAAGGGGAAGTCCACCCTGACATCAGGTTTATTTAAATAGAAGCAAAAAATGAGACAAACAGGTCAACGAAAATTTGAGCAGAATCCAATTATTAAAGATAAAGAAATTTATGAGTATTTAAAGTTCTGATCAATCAAACACAAATTGGCAACTTTTTTACTTTTCTTGCGAGATTCCCTCCAATTTGCTCTGTACTGAAAATTTCATAAACTTCCATTTTTGGGGGTTATCTATGACAGAACAGAATCGTTCCATACAGGGGGTGTATAAAAACATATTTGCAACAACTATAAATGTAGGGTGCATGTATATGCCTGGAATTTCTCTATAGGGCAAAATAAAAAGTTCTGATTTTTGAAAGACCAAATGGGAAAGGAGCTCGCAAGATACAAACATTTTCTCATGAATTCTATTTGATACCTGTGTGTCCTTTACAAACACGGAGGAGTCCTCTGGCTTTATGATGTGCTTTGCAAGAGGATGGCTGCTAAAAGACAGCAACGCTCTTATCTGATTCAGGTAATGACTGAGTGATGTTACAACCTGCATGAAGACAAAAAATGAATTGGTTAAACTTTTTACTTTTTTTTCATGCTGTTACACTTAGCCAAAAAAGGCATGTACGTAAAATAAGAATACAGGACTAAAATTTCATTTTTAAGGAATACAAAGATTAAGATTTTGAAATTTGAACAATCTGGATAGGATCTGATACCAGTAATAAACAAACTTTACAGACCCCAAACAATTATCTCAGGGTTAGTACTCAACCAGGTAATAGGTTGCTAGTATGTCATGTGAAAATTTAAACATTTCTATGCATTCTTCCATTTTTTTTTACTCATGAAACCCTCCTACAATGCTCTCTCGATCATACAAATGTTTCTCCCATCAGATTTATTCAGGCTACAAAGAGTAGAGCTGTTTGTATTAGACTGTTTATTGTCCATACAATAAACAACTAAATTATTCATACCCATACTAAGTGTTAGAATTTCTTGAAATGTGTGAATTTTTGTATCTTGAGAATGTGACATATCAAAGCCTACACCTTAAAAAAGGCCCTAATTCAACCTTTCATCCCTGATTTTCAAGGGTAATGAATAATTTAGTTGTTAACTGTACTACATTGTACATACCTTCAGTCTCGTTGAGCTAGGTACAATTATGCTCTTGTGAAGGGCTAGGCATACGGTTCTATCTGTCAATCCAACCCCACAGACTAGCCCAAAGTTGAACTGTTTCTGTGAAGCAGTGTCTGTTGTCATGTCAACGAGGACCAGGTCCCCAACACCCAGGTCGTGAGGTTCCGTCGGAATATCAGCTGCTTCATATTGCACTACATGTAAAGGGAATGAAATACACAGTCAATTAAATCTTCGAACATTTTTCAATACAATGTCTTTTACTATACTACTCAGAAACTTTTTTTTTAAAGATTAACCTGTTTACCTCGTTTTTTAACCAGAATATCAATAAATATGTAAAAACAGGTATATAATTTGAATAATTTATAATTAGGTAATAAATAAGTGAATTTCTTGTAAAAAAGGTTGTGCATCCATAACCTTTACAAATTCTTGCAAAATTTGCCGTCGATTGGACCTTCCGTGGTCAAGAAATTTGATCCCTCCCCCAAAAAGCCTGGTCAGAATACGATTAATGGTCTTCTACCTTCAACGATGTCCTGTGAGATTTTGTTCTCCCTAGAGTTCTGCCTCCATGTCCTATCACAATCTTTAGCCACAGAGCTCGAAACCTACAGATTTGATATGAAAAAAGGGGTAAAACTTTGAGTGGGTTGATTAGTAGAGGTAGCGCAGTCCAGTGGTTAAACACTTAAAGAGAAGGTTCTTTGTTGTTTTCATCATGAAAAAAGAGAGGAGAAAAAATGGGGTGCCGTGAGAGAGAAATAGAAGAGATAAGACAAAGAAAAAAAGGGAAAGTTGAGGATAAAATAACTCACGTTTGACCACATCTCCAGGAGTAAAAAGCAAATAAATGCCTCTTGATAGCTCCTAATGTCTGGGTAGCATGCATGGTATCTTGGTACTTCCTTAGCCATCAAGAAAGATTGCAAAATCTCTGCGGAATGTACTGAGAGGATTGATGCAAAATATTAAATAACAAAAAGCAAAACAAAAGTCACACGTATTGAAGCAAATTTGTACAGAATTAACACTAAAAAAAGACAATGCTTCCACAAAGATTTTGCATGTATACCGGTATATAAGATACGATCTAATTTTTTGATGCAGATATAACAAGTGATTGGGATACTAAGATTCTTTTTTTTTAATTTGAATAACAATGATTTTAAGTTTTTTAAATAACAGAATAAATTTCTCTCTCTAAAAAAAAGAGAAAAAGAAAGAAAGTTTATAATTGAATTCCCTACTAGAGTCCTTCTCCCCATGGCGCATCTGAAACACAATAAAATACATTGTTTATCTAAGGGAATCAAAAATTAATAAAAAATGGAAAAGTGTGCAATACAGTACGATAAAAGATATATATATATATATATATATATGTACATTTCTTATTTTAACATCCTTGTGTAAGTCTGCACAAAAGTATTGGATGAAAATTTGAAGGGAAATCCAATCATAAAAGAAAACTACTCTAAAAAGAAGGGGGAAAAGAAGAGAAAAGTCAGAGGGGCAGACTGGTGAAAGATTGAACAAAATCGAACAAGAAATAAGAATGTTATGAACTTGTAAAGATTGATCCGATTTATTACAAACTATCATCATTTAGTTTCTCTTGCTTTTCTGCTTTCATACAGGTCAGATATAGGTTGAATTGCCCTGTAAAAAAAAAGATCTGTAGCCCATACCTTCTTTGTGCTTGTCAAACCAGTCAGCGTTCCAGGAGAGTACGCAAGATAAGACATCCTCTTGCTTGAATTCCTTGGTGATCTTCAGCAAAAATAGAATTACAAGTATAAAATGACCATGTTAGTTTAAATAACCCTTGTAGAGCAAATTTAGAACAACTATCCAAAATCAGGATTTCCAAAAAAAGCCCATTCATATATATATATATATATATATGGTGCAAATAATCTACGTGATTTAATTTTTTGCACATCTTTAGACAGCACCCTTCGGCTCCTGATGGAGAATATTATAACTGCATTTTCATTTATAATATTATGGCTGTCAAATGGTTATATTGCATGTTCATTTATAGCCACCTATATATTGTATTATATTTTTGTGAGTGTACATGTATAGTAAATAAATGGCAGGGGGGATGACGAAGGTCCTACACGTACCTGTATGCGTATACTAAATATACTGTATACTCACTAAACACCTGTTTAAATGTATAATGTGTTTTCAGGTTTAAAAAGTCTGAAGTACACTTACACTTCCTGTGAGTACTGACACAAGTTATGTTGCATGTCCTTCCTCTTATCTTTCCAAAAGTCTTATAGCCGAACTGGGGGTTTCTATATCCCCACCCCCCCCTACATTTATTATACAGGAGGTGACGACATATAACTAATTAACACTGTAATACATCTCCCAAAAATTGCTTCTTATGCCACCAGTAGTTGCAGAGGAAAAGAGGAACTCACCCGAGTAACCTTGGACAGTTCTGTCCCTAGGTTTCCCGACGGAATGCTTGGTGTCTGCGAGTGGCGTCTCTCTTTTAGAGGTTTCCTAATGTCCGATGCCACCAATGATGGGTGTGGAGGGTCACTTGGACAAGCAGATCTATCATCTCCAGTAGGTTTTACCCTGTCTGGTTTGGTATTGGGCGTCTCAGAGGTGCCCGAAGAGGCAGCATGACCACCGATTACAGTTCTTGAGGATTCAGAGATGTTTCTGGAGTACGAACTTGTTGAAGGAAAGGAAACACTTGGAACTGATAAATGACCATGAGACAAATTTCTAGGATCTGCTGGCATTTCATCCCCCAAGCCCATCTCATTTGAATTTGGTGATGCAGGTTGCTGGAGGCAATCTTGCACGAAACGGATCATAGCTGCTGAAGGGGTTTCTGTAGGTTCCTTTGAACTTAAGCTGAGTGGCTTAGATAGAGTGTCAGGAATGTCATGTAGAGAGTTGGTCATCTTGGTAGGATTCTTCTCCTTTTCTTGATCACTTTGTTTCATAGTTGACAGTAGTTGTTCAGATCTTGAAGGTCTCCGGACCCTGTTATTCTTTTTAGGTATGTGTTTTTTATTTCTGGTGGGAACTAAGCTGCCAGGTGCTGCTGTAGATGTGCTTGGGGCCATACTGGGAGAGGAAGGCATAACTAGAGGTTCTTGCAAGAAAGAAGACACATGTTCTGATTCTCCCTCTTGTAGCAACAAGAATCTTTCTTGTGGATCCAACTCTGAGGGACACCATGCATTACGTTGGCAAGGAAGAACTCCTCCAGATGAGTTGGGTTTGGAAGGAATGGCTGATTGTGACTCTTCACCATGAAATACTGTTCCTTTCTCATGCTGATTGACTATTTCTTTAATGTCTTCATTATCCAGGTTGATACTCAATTGAGAATCTGTGGGGAAATACTGTCCTTGAGAGTCATCCTCTAGAGGCTTTTGCTGTGGCTGCTGAGTGGCAAGTTCTTCAGTATCCTCATTGTCGAGGCAAATACTCAACTGGGAATCTGTGGGGAAGTACTGTCCTAGAGAGTCATCCTCTTGAGGCTTTTGCAGCGGCTGCTGAGTAGTGAGTTCTTCAGAGTCCTCATTGTCGAGGCTAATACTCAACTGAGAATCTGTGGGAAAATAGTGTCCATGAGAGTCATCCTCTCTTTGCAAACGTGGCGATTTACGTCTGTGGCTTGAAGAAGTTTCTGAACCTGCATCACCCCTTTGAGGTTGGTGGATTTCTTTATCAGGGCTTTGACAGCTTATGTGAGAGTCTGATGGGAAGAGGTCCTTAGGTTCTAGGTCAGCAGCTTCCCTACGATCATGTTCCTTATCCTCTAAGAAGTGTGATGGGGAATCTCTTGGAACAATCGTGGCAGAGGTAGGGAACTCTTCACTTGCATCACTTAAAGAATCTTCAGTTTCGTCATCAAGAAAAGGTGAGAAGGGCTGTGTATTAAAACCCTCAGTTGTTTCACCAATGACTGCCTTATCCCCTGCATCAAGAATAGGTGAGAAAGGCTGTGTATCAAAACCCTCAGTTGTTTCATTAACGTCTACTTCATCCCCTGCATCAAGAATAGGTGAGAAGGGCTGTGTATCAGTGTGGCCATGATCATCTCCATCATTACTGTAAATCTTGGTTTCATCTGAGCTTGGGGTTCTGACTTGATACTGCCAGCTTGACTAGACGATGGATTCAAGTCATCATCTTCAATACATGTTTCATCAGAGTCTGTCTCACTCTCGGACACCAATGGAGCTTTTGTGCTGACAAGGTATCTTCTTAGTTTGTGAATGTCCTCATCACTGACAGTATCCATAGGCTCTTCTTCTGAACCTTCATTCAACATGGAAGTTGGATTTTTAAGAGGCAACCTGTCACGGTCAATGGATCTGACAACACCTGAAGAAATGTGAACAGCTGATGGTGAAACCTGAGGCAACGGCGATTCCCGAGACGGAACGGAACTGGGCGATCCCGGTGATGAAACCCGAGGCAACGGTGACTCCAGAGATTGAAAAATATCTGCTGTGTCCCATGACAGCCTATCCTCAAACTTATATTCTACAGCCTCCACTTGACTGTAAGACTGAGATTCCTTCCAAAGATCTCCCAGAGTCATTCCGTTGCCTTTGATGTCACCAGCGTAACTAACGTCTCCACTAATATTTCCTGGTTCATTATGATGTGTTTGATTTCGCGATTGTCCTTCATCATTATAATCACCATCCAGCTCAGAATTTTTTTCTCCAATACCACTGGGCTGTTCCTCTGCCTGAACTTCAGACTCAGAATCCAATGCACCATCTTTCCCCGCCAGTGAAGTAACTTCCTGCTTTATATGACCTTTCCCACATCCTGACCCTGTGCCTCTCCCATTGCTTGTGGATGGCAAATCCCTCCTGACATCATCGTCCTTATGGCTTTCATCGTCCCTGGCTAATGATATGCGGTCAATATCAGATTCAGTTTGAATTACCTCATCATCCTCACTATCAGAAATCACGATACAATCATCATCCATGGTGTCTCCCACTTCTTAACTCTCATTCAATTCTGCTTCATCTTCAGCTCTCGATCTGTAATCATCATCATCCATAAAGTCTAAATTGAGAGAATCATCATGATTCAACATCTGTCTTTATCTCTTTAAATTTCTACCACCAATGGTTTCTTTCTTACCCAATTATTTCACTATAAGCTTGTCCACTTTCTCTAATTCTTATCCTCCATATCTATGGGTTCTTCTAATGGATTCCTTGCTTCTGTTCTGTTTTGAAAAGGACCCAACTTCTGAAGATAATATTCCCTCAGCCTTATCAATTACTGAAGTTGACCTCTGATTACAGAACTTCTTTCATTTTCATGGAGTAAGAGGATGGTTTTGATATGGTTGTGTCAACTTCTGTACTAATTTGCTGCAAAATTGTGCTCTGAGATAGAAGAGTTTATTTGATAGAGGCTCTGCCTGTAGCTGATGTGATCTCTACATCCTACAGATTCCTTGATAGAGGTGCAGACTAGAAAATAGTAATAGTAGTACTAGTATAGTAGGCTTAGGCCTGGTTGATCTACAAGAACACCTTAGTCCTTATCTATATAGGAAACATCTCCTTTAATAAAAGCCTTGCTGATGTTTTCAATATGTTCTTCCATAAACTTGGCTTGCACTGTCTAAAATTGAGGCCGTTCTGACAGGGCTCTGTCTGTGGTCTTGGTGGTCTAAGTCCTGCAGATCCCTGGACAATAGATTATCGGCACAAAAGACAAAGTTTCATATCCTGGAGGCTGCCTGTGGGGAAAAAACAATTCCAAGTCTTGCTGATGTTTCCATTGCTATTCCATGAACTTGTGTTTCCTTTTCACTTAGGCCTACTCTGCACGATCAGAACATAGAATTACAACAAAAAATATACATGCCTGCACTGCAGCTTTACTGTGCACTGCCTAGTCCCCACAGACACAGTACAGTAAGCCTACAGGTGCATTAGTAGTTCACTAGTTGTTGTACATATACGCACGCAGATACTACTAGCTCTCACTTGCTTGCCTCTGGCATCGATCGCCACGGTCTCTGGCCTTCGTCGGCGTTGCGTAGCCTCAGCATGCAGTCGATGGAATAGCTGTGAGACGACAATCACATGCGGCAATAAGCAGCGTAAAAGTAAATGTTACCAGAGTTGTTGTTGTTGGAGCTGGAGGTGCTGTATTGAACACGGCCGCCTAGTAAATTTGCGCGCCAACTTTGGGGGAATCCTGACGGGGAATCCCCGGTCCGCAAATTTTTTGTTTTGTAATATTCTTTATTGTATTCACTCAATAAATAATATTAATTCATACAAATTGTAATATATAACATATTTAAACCAATTACAGAGTACAAAATACAGTAATCTCAATTATATTGAATGAATTAATATTGTTATAACCCCCCCCCCCCCCACTATACTTTGTTCTGTGTTACTAGTATCCCTATTACATATTATAATTTATAACATATTGGAACAAAGTACAGACTACAATCAACTTAGTTATATCGAATGAATAAAGTTTGTTAAATCCCCTACCCCCGTTAAAAACAAAACCAACAACAGCAAACACAAAACAAACAAAAAAAACCCAAAAAAAAAGAAAACAAAAACAAAAACAAAAAACAAAACAAAAAAACAAAAAAACAAAAAACGATACAAGAAGACGTGGGCAGTCTATGGCAGTCGAGACCGGTCAATCACACACAGCTGTGAACCGGGCAGGCCCCCCCTTTCCTCATCCCTTGCATTTTCTTGCATATTATCCATGTTTACCTTGAGATGTTCCCATTTTTTATAGTGGAGCGTCAACGTATTTCGTTCAGTAGCACTCTTTCTTTCTTCCCGTTTACTTTTGAATATTTTCTCTCTTATTTCTTCAATACTTGGAGGCTTCTTTTTTTCCCTACTAATAAATATCAAATATTTAATTAATAAAACCACGTGATTAATCATTTGCCTATCTTCGGTTATTTCGTCTAATCCAATGTGAACTTCCTTCCAGCTCATATCTTTAAGGATTGGAATATCCAAACTATCACTACATTGATCCCATAATTTTCTCACCATTTCGCATTCAAAAAATATGTGCCTATATGTTTCCTCTTCTTTTCCACAAAATGAGCATTTATCACTTAATATGAATTGAAACCTGTATAAATAACGATTGACATAAACAATTTTATAAAGCAATTTGAATTGAAATTCTCTTAGTTTATTATCTAAAGTACTAATTCTTGGTCGGACAAAAACCTTTTCAATTTCTTTAACCGACAGATTGTATGATGAATGTAAATTCTGAAAACTGACAGGGACGTCTTGCGTTTTTTGTATGCATGCCCTGTACAGATTTTTCGAACAAACCGATTCAAATTGGAATGTTTTTTTTGTAAACATAAATTCTATTTTTAGATCATGAAATGAAATTTGCCTCTTTGTTAATTCGATTTTCCATTCCTTTGGTATATTACCATAGATTTCTTTAAGCATTGATATTTCCTCTTCCTCTAGTCCCATACATCTGAAATAAGTTTCCGACTTTAATGTTCCTTTTCCATCTATAATATGGTACAATCTATAAGTATTTTTTAAGAAAAGATTTTCATTGAAGTATGTTTTTCCACTATTGTGTATATACCTATTATTTAAAAAAATTTCATTCCCTTTGTGAGTTGTATCTTTTTTAATAAAATCATTCATATCTAACCAAATGTTTATTAAATCCCGATAGTATTTTGGTAATTGTATATCGATCTTGTTAGGTAAATAGTTACAGTAAAAAATAAGATTTCCTCCGAAAGGTCTCATTAAAAATTTGAAATACTTTTTCCATTTAACTCTCTGGTTTCCTGTTACAAGTCTTTTAATCCACATCACTTTTTGTACTTTCACAAAAAGTTGAAAGTTGAGCATTTTTAATCCTCCTTGCTTGTAATCAAAATACATCGTACTTTTTTTAATTTTGTCTTTACCTCGCCATAGAAAATTAAAACAGATCTCATCAATTTCTTTTATAACCCATTCAGGCACTGGAGTCAAAGAGCTTACATAGATTAGTTTTGAATATGCGTATGTTTTCAGTAAATGAATTTTTCCTATCAAAGTAAGATCTCTTTGTTTCCACCAATTTAACAATTTCTTT